CATGAGGATATCGTCTATGTATTTTATAAAGAGTTTTGGAGTTGTATTAAGTTTTTTCATCGCTTGGTCCATTATGTGATTTAGATATATGCCTCTAAGATTGACCAAGAGCGAACCCCCCCAACAGTAGACCGTTTTTCATTAAATAAAAAGTATTATATACAAAATATCCATTTTCACAACATAATCCTATTCTTTCAAGGAATATTGCCTTATTTTTAATTAGTGTATGAGGTTCTCTTTCCGACCATTCTTTTTCTAGTATTTTATATATTTTTTTTAGCAGGACATTTATAAAAAGGGACTCCATGTCATAACTTACTATTTCTTCATCCTCATCAACTTTATTTAATACTATCTTTAACTTGTATTGAATTTTTGATTTCATAAGGATTATTATAGCTTAATTTGTTTAATGCGGGATTTAGAAATTTGGATAATTTTTCGGTGATGCCGTTTATATTGTTTACAATAGGTCTAAGAGGTTTATTATTTTTATGTAGTTTACTTAATCAGTGCATCCTGGGTATTGTATAACGCCTTGCTATAAACTTATCTTTTACTTTATCATTGATGTATTTATTTTTTACATGATTTATCGATGTATATTATAATTTTATCTTGTATTTCCTTTGAGGGATCTTTTCTGAGGCTACGATAAGTTAGGCGGTCATCCAATAGGTTCTGCATTTTATGATTATATTCTTTTTTAGAAATTATCACTGTTTTTTCCTATTTTATTATTAGTACCTCGAGATTATTTTTTAAAAATATTTTAGCATCTTCAATATCTTTATTTACTTTTGCATGTAAGAGATTTTTATTTTTATTTTTGTTTTATTTCCTGTGTTCCATAAATTGGTTAATATCATTGTTTACCTTATTTTGTATTGCATTTTTATGGTTGTCAGACGTGTTTATCAATCTAATAATGAGTTTGAAGTACGCTATAATGTTCATTATTTCTTTTTCATGATTATTAGGTATAATATTAAATTTTTCACCCAGAGACAACACATTTATTATATTTATAGGTATATTTATGTTCGTTGAATTAACGGTACAGTCTTTATTATACTGGCACTAGGTATAATCCTTCATATGCATTTAGAATAGTATTATGGTATGAACTATTTTTATTATCAATCTGACCCCCTATTATGTTTTTTGAATTAATACTTAATGTTTTACTATTTTTAACGTCATTGTATGGTTTTTTGATTACAGCAGTATAGAGTCTATTGGCTTTAATTGTCAGTTTCATTCTATGGTAATCATTATAACTGGTTTTATATTCTCGCATCGTTTTGTTAATTTTTTCATATAATATTACATTGTTTTCTTTCAATTTATTAAAAAGTATATTTAAGATTTTGTTACAAGAATTTAGTGCCCAATAACATTGTTTAATTTCCAAATTAAATATATGTTTAGCCAGTCTATTAAATAAGTATGTTGATTTTTCACTAACGTTCAGCAGGAATTCAGTATTAAAAAGATTTTCTGAAGGGTTAACTTTTTGTTCAGTATGTGGACGATATCCTCATGATAATGAAGAAAAATAAAAATAAAAATTGTTTGCAGATATTAAATAACATATCAGACAAACTAAAATTTACAATAGAAATAGAACAAAACAAAAAAATCAGATTTCTGGACATTATGATATATAGAAATGAAATAGGAGAATTCACCACATCCTGGTGCAAAAAATCCATAACTAGCAATAGAATTTTAAATTGGTACAGTAACCATTGTCTAAATAAAAAAATTAATTTAGCTAAAAACTTCATAGAAAAAGCTAAACTGATCACGGATAAAATACATATCAATAAAATAAAAGCTGAAATATATAATATATTACTGGATAATTGGTGCCCTAAAAGAATTATAAATAAAATATGGTACAAAAACCAAAAAAATAAAACGGAGTGATAATAATAATGATAACAAACAGCAGAAAACAAACCATAACAAAAATAATTACCCAAGTAAATTTGTAAAAACAAAAAACTGAATTTAATCACAAATTACTTCAAAAATAATAATTCTGAAATATCTAATAACCTTGAAAAACAATCTCAAAAGTTACTTAGTGCCATACAATTTGAAAATAAAATTGAACAATGTAACATTAAATATCATTCAATAACTTATATTAAAGATCTAACTAGTAAAATTCAAAGGACTTTCAGGGAATACGATCTATCGGAAATTAAATTAGGTGAAAAGCCCGTAAATAAAATTGATAAAATGTATACTAATACCAAAGATAATATACCACATGACATGAAAAGTAATGTTATTTATAAAATAAATTGTAAAAATTGCACTAATAAATCATATATAGGACAAACGGGACAATGGTTCGTAGAAAGAATAAAACAACATGAACAAAATTTTAAGTCCAAATCAAACACATCAACTGGCCTTTCACAACATACAACATACAAAAAACACCAATTTGATTTTAAAAATACCAAAATAATATATAAGGAAAATAGTAACAACAAAAGAAAAATTATACACTCAATCACAGTCAATATACACTGACAGGAGAAAAATTCCACCCACTTGATTTTTCCATGTTTTCATCTAAAAATATATCTGTAAAGTTGTACATGGTATTTGTAGATAATACTTAGTATTTATGGAATTTTAAAATCTTTTTTACCTTTAATAATCAAAATGTGATTGGGTAAGAAAGATTAGAGAGAAAAAAAATTAAAAAACGAACCATTATTATTCTAAAAGAAATTAATTACATCATCGTTTAGTAGTGCGTGTTTTCTCCTCTTGCCTTCACTACTTCTTGAAGATGCCTCGGCATACTTTCCACCAGTCGGGAAATGTCCTTTCAAGGTCCTGCAGTGTATCAGGAAGTGTTGCCCGCGTTCTTATTCGTCTTCCGAGGTTATCCCATAAATGCTCAATGGGGTTCAAATCTGGAGAACGTGCTGGCCAAGCTAAAACCTCAATATTGTTCTGTTGAAGGAACGTCTGCACTATGCTGGCGACATGTGGGCATGCATTATTGTGCATTACAATAGAACGATTGCCGATTTTGTTGAGGAATGGCAACACATGAGGTTCCAAAATCTCATCTACATAGCGGATGGCCGTCAAAGACCCTCCACGAATAACAACCAATTCTGTGAGGCACTCCATTGAAATCCCAGCCCACACCATTAAGGAACCACGTTGGAAAGGTTGGCTCTGGGAAAAATTACAGGCTGCATATCTTTCGTTTTTTCTTCCCCACACCCTTTCACGCCCGTCTGGAGATCGAAGATCGAATCTTGACTCATCTGTAAAAAGTACAGCACTCCATTCGTCCATAGTCCAATGGCTGTGTTCTCGAGCAAAAGCCAGTCGTGTTACTCTGTGAGTTCTGGTCCTCTTACTGGACGAAAAGGCATTAATCCATTCTCATTTAATCTTCTCCGAGCAGTACGTTCAGAAATTTGCACACTTCGAACTTCTTCGAGCTGATGAATCGCTTGAACAACGGTAAGGTGCCGGTTTCGTAAAATTCTCAAAGTCGAAAACCGGTCATCCCGTGGTTCTGTTACCCTAGGCCGTCCAGAACCGGGTCTTCTATTGTAAGAACCAGTTTCCTGAAAACGCCTGACGGTGTCTCGTAAAGTTTCATATGGAACTCCGATGGCATTAGCTAGCTGCATATCTAATGGAACGTCCATCATCAATAAGTGCCACACCACGCGCAACATCCTCAGCACTGAGAGGCATTATAAAACTTAATATTGAAAAAATTAAAATCCGGAGGCTAAGAAATGTGCTGCAAGAAACAGCACTGAACTAATGATACTGAATAAATATTTTGATTCCATAAAAAGTAAACATTGGAATCTAGAATCATTTCATTGAATTAAGGGTTATTGTCCTCTATATTAACATTCCTAATTGAAAACAAACAAAAATATTACCTATTTATTCATTAAAAACAATAGACCAATCCAAAGCAGAAATATTTTTAGACGAAAACATGAAAAAATCAAGTGGGTGGAATTTTTCGCCTGTCAGTGTATATCACTAAAAATTTAAAGAATTGCATTAACAACCATACAGATGTGGACAATATAAATACTTTTTACGCAAATGTAATTAACAATATTTGCATATAATATAATAATTAATTTAAAAGCAATATAAAAATCATAAATTAGATAAAATAATAAACAATTGCAAAACAAAAGAAGGAAAACCCAACCCCTCTCCCCTTGAATAACCAAACCAGAACAATATAAGTCAGTCCCTCCAGAAATGACATAGGGAAAACTCTTAAATAGCAGGCCAATTAATTTTTCACTGAACAAATTAATACAAAATTAATAATGAATATCTAATGGAGGATTCATTAAGGTAATATTCAATTGTTTTTAATGAGTAAAGTTACGAACATGAAAGGTTTTTATAAGAAAAAGTATACACATCTATGTGTATTGAAAATATTATGACATAGATTGTTAGATAAGTTAATTATGTGTAATAATTTTTTTTTTTTAAATGTAAATGTTAACTAATAATGACATTACAATTTTCCAGACTTACCCATCGCTTGATCTCTAGTTAATATACTTAAAAAAGGTCTAAAGGAAAAAATTAGGTGTTTAATAAACAATATTCATGGGCCTCTAGCAGAATAAAATACATTGTTATTAGTTTTATCCCAGTTTATAATTCTAATCATGAGGAAAGAATTAATTTAACAATCCTTTTATAGTAAATAAAAAAAAGGAAATCTAAAAGCACCACAATGGTATTTTCTAAATAATTTGCTAATTAAAGTATATGTTATTAATATAAAAAAAATTAACAGCTCAAATCGAGTAATAAATATTTATTTTATTTATAAGGTTGTTTTGAAAAACTAGAAGTGATGTCATCTGTGGCCTTGGGTGTGGTTAACCTATGTAAACAGGGGAACGCCATATTGTGCAACTGGAAGCTTAGGAAAGAGGTGTTTCTTTTAGAGCAAGATGAAGACTTATATGTCTATTCTGATTAAAACTATCATGATCGTTGCCTTTTTTGGCCAGATCAGAGTAAGAAACATTTTACTTATTTAATGTTTTTTGTTTTTGTAAGTGCATAAATGGTGCAATAAAAACTGGCTAAAGAATTCCAATGTTGTGGTTGATGGTTTCAATTTTGAGAAGCTGAATATATGTCATATTTTTTATTTTTTTCTAATTAAGGGTTCAATCAAGTGTAACACTCAGTTATCAAATGAACAATTCATAAGCGTAGAGATGAATAACAAACCTTAAATGATGACCGTAAATGATTGACAAATGCCCTTTAAATTTGGTTTATCTAATTGTTATGTGACGGATAAAGTAATTTTATTGGTAAAGAGCCTTCTTAAAAATAAAAGAAAAAAAAGAAAGTATATCTGGCCAGTAGATCGAACAACCACTTGAATTATTCCATGAATAATTCTACATTGCAAAGTTTTTACTAATTTCCTTTATGTTATCTAGTGCTATGAAGAAGATGTATCATTGAAACAAGTGTTCGGTCAGTGTTCTGAGGAACACCAAATAAGCCTGGTATAAAGTTCTGTTAATTATTTGTTGAATTTTCAAAATGAAATGGAAAGCTTTAAAATTGTCAAATTCATTTTATTTCCTTTTCTTTTTGTTACAGAAGCTATTATGAGTACTGTGAGGCATGTGCGTGGGCCCGATGGTTATCAAGTTAAGGTGCGACTTACAATTTAGTATCACCTTTAGATAGGCTATTTCTCATATCTTTACTACTCTTATTCTAACTAATGGTCTTATTGATTGGCCTATTGTTATCACATCTTCAATAAATGTTTAGTGATAGCTACAGATAGATTGAGAATCTATAAACGATTTCATAGAATTAACGACTATTGATCATTGGCTTTATCCGAATATGACATTGTCCTGTATTTCCATTTTCAGATACCTTGTTCCGAGAACGAGAAAAACTAGTGCTTATTATAATTATTATGTTTAAGGCTTGTTTAAGCAGCTAAGATTTTGTAATAGATTTTAATCTTTATGAACTGTAGCAATTTTATATATATTTTGTCTCCTCTCGAGTGTTATAATTATTTTATTTTATTTTTTTATAGCGTTGGATCACTTGTGTAATGAAGAAAATGGGAAAGGTAAAAAATTAATTTTTTCAAAACTATTTCTTGCAAAAGCTTTATAATTGTCGTATCTTCAAGATTTGTTTTCCGGATGTACGTATCTTTGTAAATAATAAATAGTTTTTCATATTTTGATCTTCTGTTTTATAGATAAATGAAGGTGAAATTGACTGGGAGCAATGTAAAATACTTTCTAAGCAAGGACTAACTGGAAAAGTAGATAAAGCCAAGGTCGATAAGATAGCTGAAATATGGCAATATAAAAGTAAGAACCATAATTAATAAAAGTGAAATGCAATTTGACTGTACCCCCATAATAGAAATACTTTGCATTGTACATGAGGATGTATAAATGCTAGTATATTTGAAGCTTCCCATGCCCTTTTATTAATATAACTTTTCTATTTGACAGTTCCTGAAGAGGTAAAAAAAGAGCGTCAGCTGGCAAATTATGCCCCAGTTTGCAAATTCGAGAGCTGGAAGGAGGTAACCAAAAAGTAAAATAATATAGGATTCATAATACTTTAAAAACTAGATTTACATTAAAAATTAACTTTATTTTTCAGCTTGCTCTTCTAAAACATCTAACATTAATCAATTAGGCATCTTTACTGTTACTGGATAGCTTTTGATCGACTGGCCGGACATGGAAAATTCGATAAAAATGACATAATTGTTTGTAATATAAAATTTAATGTCATTAAATAAATTGCATTGTATAACCAGTTTAGTTTAATATTATCCTTCTATTTATAGAAAAATAAAAAAGAAAAAATCTGATTCCCTGGTGTAAAAATAAATAAACATCTTGTAGACAGATCTATTTATCAAAAAAAGAAAAAAATGTACCCAGCCTGGGGTAGCAAGTACCAAGCTCTCGTTTCCTTCCTTGTTGGGGAAATACTCTAAAGGACATCCCACAACTCCTCTCCATACCATGCCATAGATATTTAAACCCAGGATTTTAGTGAAGAGTCTGCCCATCGCTTGATCTCTAGTTAACATACTTACAAAAGGTCTCAGGGAGTCTGGTGCTTCAATGATGAACAGTAACGGAGAAAAAATTTGGTAAAGTATTAGGATGATGAGTACGGCTCTGAAGACAAATATCAAGGGAGAGGTCTAAAAGGTCTAAAACAAATATCAAGGGAATGATGTAGGGAATTTTTGTTTACATAGTATGATGCATGGACTTACGTTCACACCATACAACCCTTAGTGGTAGAGGGCTGGAATATGATGAATATATTGAGAAAGGAGATTCGTTGTGGACGACTGGCCTCGACTGGATGAAAATAAAGAACTCTTATTACCAAACTCGCATGCTATAGGGGTAAGATTAAAGGAGAAGGTACAAAGACTGAGTCTTTCCCAAATTTCCGTTAGTTCCATATTCAACTCCTCTCCACTGACTGAAAGGGTAATTCCTATCAGTATGGGGTACACCTCTCACTTTCAACCTCTCTTCTTTCTTATGAGCGAGATATGACCCTTGTCCCTCTTTCTTTCCTATCTTTTCATATAATAATTTTAGCTGGTAGGGAGCTAGAGCCCCTCCGAAAGAAAACCGACACTCCCTTGTTAATGTGGACTATGGCTACTTTTAACATCTATTTCAGGCGAGACAACAGCCGATTTATGTTTTCTTGTGAGTTCATAGCATTTCCACTGATTGAATTATTAACGAGTGTAATAGTATTGTAATTCATCAATCGGAATTGTTGACTTGATGATGAACTGAAATGAAAAAATCTTGAAAACGAGAATGAGTATATATTGATCAAATTATCTTAAAACCTATACAGTAAGATGATTAATTTTTGGGGAGCAAGTAAAATTTAGTTTTGGTGAGTCCTTGGTGGATATACTGTGTTGGTTCAGTCTGAAAAAATATGCTTTATGTAGGCAGGTACTGCACTACTACCTTGCGGCAGATTGAGAACCCTAGTTCACTACACTCGATGTACAGTTAGGTTTTATTTGTTTCCAGTGCTTTTTCAAAATCCAATTTTAAATTTTTTAAAATAAAATACTCTAGTCTCTAGAATAATTTTTCTATCAATTTTGTAAGAAGAAGACTCGCCTTACATATTAATAATTTTTTTTAGCATTTTAACTTTGAAAATAAAGGTAGAAGGAGCTCAAAACTTTGAAAAGTGTCCCAAAGATACCCCATCTTGAGGTACCTATATTACTTCTTTAGTAGCAATACTTATTTATTTTAATACAGAATTATGATTCTATGCTTTATGAAAAACAAAATATGTGGCTCACTAAAAGGATGTGTAATATCCAAATTGGATAATATCAAAGTGTGACATTGTTTGCAACCGTTATTATAATTTTAGTATGTATGGTATATTTCTTTTAAGCATCTCTAGAAATAATAAAGATATTATAATTATCGTTATTATATCTTTATTACTATTCACAGAGAGCTGCATAACTGAAAATAATTACTGTAACTTCCTAAAAATTGTATATATGAGGACATTCTATTAAACATACAGCCTCATGTTTGTTCAATCATACATCTGATCATCTTAAGTTGATTAATGATGAAAATTGTCAACAAAGTTTTTATTATTAGTCTGGAATAAATATTTTGTTCCTTTCAACCAACACAAATCATGTGTGAAATCTCGACACTTATAGATAAATGTTGACAATGGTCAGACATAATTGTACTGCATAAGATGAATAAAGACCAGTTCGTCATAGCAGACATAGTTCATATTTTAGGCGGGAGAAAAGTGAGAACCCCTTTGAGAAATATATGTTCCCCTACATTTGCTAAAATTAGTCATCAACAACCAGACAGCCAAAGGAAAAAATAAGGTGTTTAATAAACAATATTCATGGGCCTCTAGCAGAATAAATACATTGTTATTAGTTTTATCCCAGTTTATAATTCTAATCATGAGGAAAGAATTAATTTAACAATCCTTTTATAGTAAATAAAAAAAAGGAAATCTAAAAGCACCACAATGGTATTTCTAAATAATTTGCTAATTAAAGTATATGTTATTAATATAAAAAAAATTAACAGCTCAAATCGAGTAATAAATATTTATTTTATTTATAAGGTTGTTTTGAAAAACTAGAAGTGATGTCATCTGTGGCCTTGGGTGTGGTTAACCTATGTAAACAGGGAACGCCATATTGTGCAACTGGAAGCTTAGGAAAGAGGTGTTTCTTTTAGAGCAAGATGAAGACTTATATGTCTATTCTGATTAAAACTATCATGATCGTTGCCTTTTTTGGCCAGATCAGAGTAAGAAACATTTTACTTATTTAATGTTTTTTGTTTTTGTAAGTGCATAAATGGTGCAATAAAAACTGGCTAAAGAATTCCAATGTTGTGGTTGATGGTTTCAATTTTGAGAAGCTGAATATATGTCATATTTTTTATTTTTTTTCTAATTAAGGGTTCAATCAAGTGTAACACTCAGTTATCAAATGAACAATTCATAAGCGTAGAGATGAATAACAAACCTTAAATGATGACCGTAAATGATTGACAAATGCCCTTTAAATTTGGTTTATCTAATTGTTATGTGACGGATAAAGTAATTTTATTGGTAAAGAGCCTTCTTAAAAATAAAAGAAAAAAAAGAAAGTTATATCTGGCCAGTAGATCGAACAACCACTTGAATTATTCCATGAATAATTCTACATTGCAAAGTTTTTACTAATTTCCTTTATGTTATCTAGTGCTATGAAGAAGATGTATCGTTGAAACAAGTGTTCGGTCAGTGTTTAGGAACACCAAATAAGCCTGGGTATAAAGTTCTGTTAATTATTTATTGAATTTTCAAATGAAATGGAAAGCTTTAAAATTGTCAAATTCATTTTATTTCCTTTTCTTTTTGTTACAGAAGCTATTATGAGTACTGTGAGGCATGTGCGTGGGCCCGATGGTTATCAAGTTAAGGTGCGACTTACAATTTAGTATCACCTTTAGATAGGCTATTTCTCATATCTTTACTACTCTTATTCTAACTAATGGTCTTATTGATTGGCCTATTGTTATCACATCTTCAATAAATGTTTAGTGATAGCTACAGATAAATTAAGAATCTAATAAACGATTTCATAGAATTAACGACTATTGATCATTGGCTTTATCCGAATATGACATTGTCCTGTATTTCCATTTTCAGATACCTTGTTCCGAGAACGAGAAAAACTAGTGCTTATTATAATTATTATGTTTAAGGCTTGTTTAAGCAGCTAAGATTTTGTAATAGATTTTAATCTTTATGAACTGTAGCAATTTTATATATATTTTGTCTCCTCTGGAGTGTTATTTATTTTATTTATTTTTTTTATAGCGTTGGATCAGTTGTGCAATGAAGAAAATGGGAAAGGTAAAAAATTAATTTTTTCAAAACTATTTCTTGCAAAAGCTTTATAATTGTCGTATCTTCAAGATTTGTTTTCCGGATGTACGTATCTTTATAAATAATATTTTTTCATATTTTGATCTTCTATTTTATAGATAAAGGAAGGTGAAATTGACTGGGAGCAATGTAAATACTTATAAGCAAGGACTAACTGGAAAGGAAGAAGAGCCAAGGTCGATAAGATAGCTGAAATATGGCAACATAAAAGTAAGAACCATAATTAATAAAAGTGAAAGGCAATTTGACTGTACCCCCGTAATAGAAATACTTTGCATTGTACATGAGGATGTATAAATGCTAGTATATTTGAAGCTTCCCATGCCCTTTTATTAATATAACTTTTCTATTTGACAGTTCCTGAAGAGGTAAAAAAAGAGCGTCAGCTTGCAAATTATGCCCCAGTTTGCAAGTTCGAGAGCTGGAAGGAGGTAACCAAAAAGTAAAATAATATAGGATTCATAACACTTTAAAAACTAGATTTACATAAAAAATTAACTTTATTTTTCAGCTTGCTCTTCTGAACATCTAACATTAATCAATTAGGCATCTTTACTGTTACTGGATAGCTTTTGATCGACTGGCCGGACATGGAAAATTTGATAAAAATGACATAATTGTTTGTAATATAAAATTTAATGTCATTAAATAAATTGCATTATATAACCAGTTTAGTTTAATATTATCCTTCTATTTATAGAAAAATAAAAAATAAAAATGTAATGCTGGAATCTATTGTGCAAAGAAAATATCTGATTCCCTGGTGTAAAAATAAATAAACATCTTGTAGACAGATCTATTTATCAAAAAAAGAAAAAAATGTACCCAGCCTGGGGTAGCAAGTACCAAGCTCTCGTTTCCTTCCTTGTTGGGAAATACTCTAAAGGACATCCCACAACTCCTCTCCATACCATGCCATAGATATTTAAACCCAGGATTTTAGTGAAGAGTCTGCCCATCGCTTGATCTCTAGTTAACATACTTACAAAAGGTCTCAGGGAGTCTGGTGCTTCAATGATGAACAGTAACGGAGAAAAAATTTGGTAAAGTATTAGGATGATGAGTACGGCTCTGAAGACAAATATCAAGGGAGAGGTCTAAAAGGTCTAAAACAAATATCAAGGGAATTTTTTGTTTACATAGTATGATGCATGGACTTACGTTCACACCATACAACCCTTAGTGGTAGAGGGCTGGAA